CTCTCTCTCTCTCTCTCTCTCTCTCTCTCTCTCTCTCTCTCTCTCTCTCTCTCTCTCTCTCTCTCTCTCTCTCTCTCTCTCTCTCTTCCCTGTATATTTCGATAATTTTTAAAAATATCACTTATTTCAAAGTGATTCCATCATGTCTTTAATATTAAATTTTATTTGTAGCTTATTTTCATAATTTTTTAGTAGCTTATATATCAGTTTATTTTTTTTACACGAAAAGCCATATGAAAGTATTGATAATTAAAAAAGATAAAGTTGTCAAAACACAGCTGAGAATTTCGTTTGACAGAGTGTAAGGCGTAATTGCATGGTATTTTCATGCCGATATACCCGTATATCCTTCGTATCCTGTGGGTGCTCACACGTTCGATCGGGCGTTTCGCGGCGCGATTCGAAGGCGATTAATATTATCCAGAGCTGCCGATACGGTTGGCGCTCCGTCACGGACGAGGAGAGAAGAAAAGGAAGCCGAGAAGGTGGCGGCGGGGCGTCCGCAACTGGCAACGAAACCAATAACTATTAATCGAAGCGCCACCGCACATTCAGCAAAGTCGACGCGATTCGAACGCGCAGCATCCTCGATTACATCCCCCGTACTGCCCCCGGCGCATCGGGATACGCACGTATTTCAAACGGCGAACACCACCCTAAATGCAAAATCGTGTCTCTCTTTACGGTCCTTTCATCCTGCGTCCCTTTTCCCGTTAAGCACCTCGGTGTAATAGCGTGCTGCTGATTTCGTATCTCGATGTACGTATCTCCGAGAAAATATATCTTCAGCCCATCAATTTTCCAAATATTTCAGAAATGTATTCGCAACATGTATGAGTTTTTAAAAAATTGTATATCTGTTGAATCATTTGCTTACGCGGAATTTTTATAAATTTAATAACTCTAATTTTAAGAGCAATTAGAAAAGTGGAACAAACTAAAAATAAATAAATATCTTAATTCCTATAACATAACGATTCAAATATCGCGATGGCGTTGAAAAAAAATTAAGGACCTAAGACATTTGCATGAGGTACTCTGGCATTTGAGTCTTTTGATTACAGAATGTTTAGTACAGACACTAGAGAGGAACCAAGCTGACCGGGCGATGGGGTTATCAGGAGAACGTAGATAACGTCGTTCCGTCTGCCATCCTTAAACTGTCACATGTAACTCATGTGGTGACTTGAACCGCGTTTCTCTCCTCTCCCTAATCGGTAGACCGGCGACCGTATGTACCAAAGCACGACCGGTTCGAAGATATACGACGAACGAATATCCGGAAGGGGCGGTCTGGAATTCTGGACTCTGTCCGAGCGACCGCGGGACGAGAGAAAGAGAAAGAGAGCGAGCGCAAAGCGGCTTTCATCTTCGTGAATGTACACACATACACATATGGCGTATGCGAGGGTGCACGACCTAACAAGACTTTACCCCTCGATTGTTTCCGATAAAAATTTGCCGATATCCGTTAGGGTCTTCTAATCCCACTGTTACATTAAAAATAATGAAGAAAGGTTCGTTTAGCTTAATAAAAGTTTAAAGTACAATCGTGTGATTAATAGGATTTTATAAAAAGTTTAGAGTAGAATATTTTTCCATCACTTCTTAAAATTTGTATGCACAAAATTCTAATTATCTTAATCGTATAATATATTTTTTGTTCACTCACCGTTGCTGCCATGAAGAAACAAGGGGCGGCTTGGAGGACAGCAGCTGTGACTTCAGTACACGAGCCATAGCCAACTGGTGCTGCTTTCCAACATTCTGTAATAATATAAAACAATAATTTTTTCATCAGTGATGCAACGATACGAAATCAGATTCGTGATACGTCAGGTGATTTGAACGTGTTCGAAGCGACATTTAAAAATACTTATGTTATGGCAAACTAAAAATGCATCGAAATTCGGTGCCAAAAAATATTCGCAAGACAAACTTTGGCACAAAATAAAATGCAAGCAGAAATCTACGTCATATGCGGTATATATATAGCGAATTGAGGAATTCAATTTTGTGCGTACAATATCCAACGCGAGAGACCGCAAAAATGGTATTTTTGTCTCTGGGACTGAAACACGATTTCGAAGACTAAGCAATATAACGCAATAAACGCCAAGAGGTGCTACAATTTTTACAAGTGACCTTTACACACAATTGCGCTATGTTCAGTAACAAATAAAATGAGGTGTAAAAAGAATACATTTTAAAAGTCTCCAATCCGCTGAATTATTGATTAACAGCTGTTCAATATTAGAATTTTCCAAAATTTCCTGTTTCGGTTATTCGTAGAAAACACGAATACGACCGATTTCAGAAATTCAAAGACGACCGAATCCGACGAAAAAGAAAAAAGAAAGAGTGGATAATTATGTACTAATTAAAAGTAGATTCGCTCTCGTATAATTGCGCGTTTTAATTTGAAGTCATGCAAAAGCGCTCTCGCGTTTCATTCGGACACTCGAATGAAGTTGACAGAAATATTCAAAAGGAAGTACTCCTTTCATTTATCTTTTTAGAACCGTGTCCTTGTAATTAAAAAAATTACGTCTTTGTCTGGTCGACGAAGCCGCCGGCATCGTTCAGAATCTCACCGCGACGATGAAACAAAATCGCCGAAATTCTGGTCGTTCCTCCGCCGGCGTCTACGCCGACTCGAATTTTATTGGAATTTTTATTGGAGATTCTCGCGTACGTTCTCGTGTATCGATGCGATTTAACGAACTAATATATTGGACAAAGCATAGCGAACATCTCACGCGAAACTGTGTACAATACGTTAAATCTATTTAATGTTCCTGCGAAATATCTTCAATATAAAAAAAAAACTTCATTGAAATGAATGTTTACGATATGCGCCAATTTTTATAAAAAAAAAAAAAAAAAACGTACATATAGATATTATGGATAAAATACATCGACGCAGATTATAAACATCATTTATTCAATTCACGCGTTACACGTTCGCGTCAGAGATGACGTCAAAGTATCTTAAATAATCGAATGACGAGAGTGGTGTACGTCAAAATATTACCGTAAACACATAATTTTCGGAAAACACTATATTAAGTATTCAGAAGCGGTTGTCCGAACGTTACACAAATTATTGCTAATTTATAAAATACTGTAATAAATTTCGATGATAAATTCATCAACACCATTGTAATAAATTGGCACGTCATACCGACAAAATGTAATCATCAATAATGCATTTGTAATTTAAACACTGATCTCATTCGCTTTTTATCACATCTAATCGCTATATGATGATAGGTAGTTACTAACTGTGTGATACGGTGTTTTTTTTGTAAGAGACACTAGGGACGCCACTGCGGTAAGAAAAACCTCGAAACCAATCAATTCAATCAAAGACAACATTGTAAGGACACTTTGTTTCGCGTCATCGAACTCGAGGGGGGGGGGAGAGAGATTTCCTGCGCCCGATACAACTCGACAAATTAACCAAAGTTTCACACGCCCCCGCCACAACTTGATACCCCTGGCACGGCCAATCAAACTTGGAGTTTCGGTAATTCCCGGGCCAAATACTCCCGTTTACACGTTACAGGTTATGGTATAAGACGGCCCGTTTCCTCGAGTTTCGCCGCCGCTAATACCCGGAGTTTTGGCCGCAAGTTGTCATCCGGTGGCAGCAGCCAGCTACAAATCGCGAGATTGCGATTTTCCTATTCGACAAGGAGGAACGAATTATACAAAAGGCGCCTACACTACCGAACGAAAATTGTTAATTTTCCTTCTCGTACGAATCACGTTTGCTGCTTTATCCAAGTACAGGAGGTTCTCATTATAGACCCCGCCATTCGTTAGTCGAGTTAATTAGCGAGAAACGTGTAAATAAAAGAAGGTCACGGGAGAAAGGGAGAGGCGGAAAGGAGGGGGAGGGGGGGGGAAAGGAACGAGGGGAGAGAAGAGAGTGCAGCAATCTCTATAAAATTGCACGTAGAAGGAAACCGAAGGACCGAGCAAATTTCTAGCAAATAAAATTACTTAAAGCAAACGCGTTACTTTTTCAATGCCACTATCCGGTCGCAATGACCATCCCGGTTGGCTACGGTTCGATTCGAAGGAGAAGCACCGATGTGTGTTCTTGCCGGTGGATAGCTTCCAAGCGAGGTCTCTCCCCAGGAGCCTCCCTCTTTCCGTCGCGCAGCTCCGTCCGAACACGGTCACATGCATATGCAAATTTATTCCGCCGGTGTATTAGTGAGCGGCAACGTGCGACTGTGTACGCGTGCGTGGCACTTGTACGATGGCGCGTGTATGCGTGTATGCGTGTATGCGTGTATGCGTTTCGGAGAGCCGTTTCGTCCGGGCCGATCGCGGCGGAGAGGGTCATAAATTAAATGATGTAAATGCTCTGTCCACCCTCTGTCGCTGCGAGTGGAGACGGTACACAGGACCACCTCCCTCGCGTCCACGACCCTACCGACTGGTCGCTGCCGCCGCCATCACCCCTGGACCACCAACCCTGACCCGTCGCCAGCCCCTTGCCTTGACGCTGGGAGCGTGCCGACTGATTATAATCATCGGAATCTATACTTCAGTCTCGTTCGCGCGGGATGAAAGCGAGGGAGAAAACGAGCATACTATACTTTGTTACATTGCTTTCGCGAAATGTATAATGTACGCGGTGTATGAAGCTTATCGCTATTCGCACGATCCGACGTCAAAAGAATTATGCGCATTGCGCATAAATAATTACGGATGCCTATGTAAATACCCCTAAAAACCCAACGCATCAACGTTCAATAATTAATGTCGTACATGATAAATTTTAAATTAATCGAGAAATAGGACACATAATAATAATAATAATAATAATAATTTGATAGTATAATTGATTATAATGACAATTTGAATAAACTGATAATTCGATAATAATAATTGAAGTTCGAACAGAATCCCGCTATTATTATTCGCTTGTCCCTTGACCATAAAGAAAATTTCTTCCTTCTTTTTCCGCTTGCCTCCCTCGCCCCTTGAGAAACTCGCACGTTTCGGAAACGAATCGGCACTTAACGGGGTTATACGAAACCTACGTTATCTATTTATTCCTCTCAATATCCGGCTCACCGATATTTATCTCCTTTCTTTCCATCTTCGACCGTAACGCGGAAGAATAAGTGCCCGGCAGATTCCCGATCGGCGAGCGATCGATAAGCGCGAGCTCTGACCTGATTTCTCCGATGTTAACTCGGCGAGGAGAGAACATCGAGTTCCGAGGCCTTCGATCGAGAAGATGGGAAGGATCGGTCGGATCGCTAAGCCCCGCTCTCAATCGGATTCGAATTTGATAGTATTTGAACAGCCAGCGTCGCTCTCGTAAATTCGGCACGCCGTTTGTGTATCCCTCTCTATGCCACTCTTGGCTCCCTTCTTCCGCGCGATCCGATATTTGGTTCGGCGCAGATAACCGCTTATCGACTGTTGTCGTCCGTTTTCCTGAAGAATGAACCGTATTTGCAATGATCCAGCAGTAACTTAGCAGTAACTATCCCCACAAATCGCCACGCGTTCAAACAGATCTGGATACAAACGAGCGCGCCGATCATCGATCGTAAGCGATATTCCATTAAATCTCGGAAGCACTTGGAAATTGCAGTGGCTCAAGTATCATCGTTTACAAATACTTGATTGAAACAATGAAATGAATAATCAAATATCCATCAAAGTCACACTCGTTTTTACAATTATACAGCATAGTAATATTATTTTGTTAGAAATAAATTTATGGTGAATTATAATATAAGAGCTCACAGCTTTACTTTTTTAAATCAGACAATTGATTTCTATTTTAAAATCATCGCGTACCAAAATGTTTAAATAGCTCATATCTCGATCAAATTTTTATTTAACGGTTCAACCCCGGTTTTATTGATGATTAACTTCACCAATAAAATTTGACATCTCAGTTCATTCGATAACACGAAATTAATTTGGCTATCTCGATGATTTGTAAGGATTGATTAATATGCAGAAAATCACTCAATGCCCGAGCCGATCTACATTCTTTTCAGAGGTGCATAAAATATATCAAAGTCATTATACTATTTCGCTCTTATGAAGGTTATTTATCTAATCCGCGCTGTGCTTGCAGCCCTATATCGAGTTCATGCGATATACGCTCGCGATGTTCGCGAGCGAGCGCGCTTCCACCCTGAACGTAAAGCCGATGAAAATGCATTGGCCGTAAATAACGTCGGTCGGGTTTCGAAGGCGCACACACCCGCGCTTACAAGGAGATAAAATCAACTTGACCCCGTTCCATCCCCCGGCCACATTTTCAGCTTCTTGCGCTTCGTGTTGTCCTCGCCCGACTCGATGGGATGGAAACACCTCGAACGTTCCGATCGGGAAAGGCGATAACCATTAAGAAGAATCGCCCTCCCCGAGTTAAATCAGTGAAAATGACGCAAACACATGTGACCGACAATGTCGCGTAGGGAGATTTTGCATTAATTTAATTTCACAGTACGGTCCTCCCACATGCGCGAGTCCGAAAAGAGAAAGGAGAGAAAAGTGCAAATTCTATCTTTTTATCAGCGGCGCGCTCAAGTTTATCGTTGGAGCTTTCATGGAGAATCCATCGGGACGTTCGAGATTTATTTAATTCATACTTAATCTAATTCCATCCTACATTGCGGATCAACTGCCTGTTACGATTATAACCACATCGATTGATTTCAATAGCAGTCGGGCGAAAAATTCTGATACAGCACAGTGTTTATGCAATCCCGGATTACACG